AAAATGAAAGAGGCAGTATAACAATGGACACCACAAAAATACAAAGAATTGTAAGCAAATACTGTGAACAACAAACTGGACAGCCTGGGTGAAATGGACAAATTCCTAGAAACATATAATCTTCCAAAATGCAATGATACATCTGATAAGGGGTTAATATCCAAAATATATAAAGTACTCATACAACTCAACAAAAGGATGACAAACAATCCAATTAAAAAGTGGCAGAGTACCTGAATATACATTTCTCCAAAGAGGACATACAATAGGCAAAGAGACATATGGAAAAATGTTCAAAGTCACTAATCATCTGAGAAATGCATATTAAAATGACAATGAGATATCACCTCACACCTATCAGAATGGCTATTATTAAAAAATCAACAAACAATTGCTAGTGAGGATGTGGAAAAAAGGGAACACTAGTACACTGCTGGTGGGAGCACAGATTGGTGCAGCCACTATAGAAAACAGTATGGAGTTTCCTCAAAAATTAAAAATGGAACTTCTGTTTGACCCAGCGATCCCCCCAATTATGGGAATATATCCTAAAACCCCCCAAACACCAAACAGAAAGAATATATGCACCCTTATATATTAATAGCAGAATTATTTACAATAGGTAAGATTTGGATACAGCCCAAGTGCCCATCAGTAGATGAATGGATAAAAAACTGTGAGACATTTACACAATGGAATACTATGCAGCTGTAAACAAAGAGGGATCTCTTAGCCTTTGGGACAGCATGGGTAGACCTGGGGAATATGCTATGTGAAATAAGCCAATCTGAGAAAGACAAATGTCACATCATCTCACTTATTTTTGGAAGCTAATGAACAAAATAAATTGACTAACATAATAAGACTCAAAGCATGGAGGTATAGAACAAACTGACATATTTCGATGTGGGATTGGGGGATGAGAAGAGATAAAGCAAAGAACTTATATACTTATATGCATAGCCCATGTACATGGGCAATAGGTTGGTGATGATCTGGGTGGTGGTGGTGGTAGGGGCTGGGTGGTGCTAGAGGGTAAAGGGGGGGGGAAATGGGAGACATCTGTAATACTATCAACAATAAATATATTTTAAAAAAGTATTGCTATTCTAAAAGACCTCAGGTTAACAGTCCTATTTGACAAAGGCTGTTTTCATAAAGTCTTAAAGATATTAATTTTCCAAAATAGTCAACATCTAGTCAAAATTAAGTATTTACTGAAACTGACTTCTCAACTGTGATTAAAAATATTATTTTCTTTTCCTGCAACTTGAAGAGATCTTTTGAACAGACCACTCCATATTCCAAATGAAGTCAGGTCCCCAAAATGTCATACAAGATGGGCTTTAGTGCTTAGCAAGCAGGAAAATTAAGTGCACATGACAGACAGGAAAATAGTGATAGTGGTAGAGGAATATATAAAGAGATTCTGTCATTAGGATGGAATACTCAATTCACATGTTAATTGTTTTCTATATTTTTATTCTGTAGAGGGGTAAAATTTGATCTGTAAGGTACATTACCAATAATTGTAAATTACTAGTGTTTTTCAAAAATGAAACCTAATAGAGAAAATTAATATACTAGACTATAACTAAAGTATTTGTGTTAGGGGAAAATATTCATGCTGATTCCAATGCACATTGGGGAATTAGAAAAAAATACTGCCATGATGAACATTTAAAGCCTTTGGTAATATATACATGCCCATGCACACACATGCAAACATAAATGGTTATCTTTGACATTAATAGAATTTATTTAATGAAATTAAATTACTTATGGGAATTCTCCTCTTTCTACTGTTTGTAAGTTAAATAATAATGTGCAAATTATTTCCATATAAAAACATTTCAGTTCCTAAAAAAATTTAAAAAAATAGCAATTCCACTTCTGGGTATATATCTGAAGGAAACAAGATCATTATCTCAAAAAGACATCTGCACTCATGTTAATTATAGCATCTATACTAATAAAAGGGTAATATGCTAATTAGGGTAGACATCTTCCAGACGTCCATCTGGACGTCCATCTGGACAAAGTCACAGCAGCTGTGAGGCCCGGGGCTCATGGAAACCATGGGCTCAGGCAGCCATGGGCCTCAGCAGCTGCGAGGCCTGGGGTTCATGGCAACTGTGGGCTCAGGTAGCCATGAGCCCCGGTGGCTATGAGGCCTGGGGCTCATGGCAGTTGTGGGCTCATGGCAGCCATGGGCTCAGGCAGCCATGAGCCCCAGCAGCTGCAAGGCCCAGGGCTCAGGCAGCCATGAGCCCCAGTGGCTGTGAGACCTCAGACTCAGGCCTTGCAGCCGCTGCGACCACGGCTGGCAGTGGCAGTGGCAGCAGCAGTGGGGTGATGGGAGTGGTGCCTTCTCTTGATCAGCTCAGTCGTCTTCCGCAGAGGGAGGCCAGACTGCTGTGGGGAGTAGGCCTAAGCTGTCAGTAGGACATCCCCTGAGGGCTCCCGGACTGTGAGAGGGGGCAGGCCGGGCTGAGCCCCCTCCTCCCCAGTGCATGAATTTTCGTGCATCAGGCCTCTAGTTATTTATAATAACCAAGACATAAAAACAACTTAAGTGTCCACTGATGGGTAAATGGGTAAAGAAGTTGCACCACGCACACACATGCACACACATTGGAGTATTAGTCAATCATAAAAAAGAAGGAAAAACAGTCTGTCCGGTGTGGTTCAGTGGTTGAGCATCAACCTATGAACAAGGAAATCACAGTTTGATTCCAGGATAGGGAACATGCCTGGGTTGTGGGCTCAATCCCCAGTGGGGGGTGTGCAGGAGGCAGCTGGTTGATGATTCTCTCTCATCATTGATGTTTCTATCTTCCTCTCCCTTCCTTTCTGAAATCAATAAAAATATTTTTTAAAATTTTTTTTTTAAAAGAAGGAAATACTGCCATTTGTGACAACATAGATGAGCCTTGAGGGTGTTGTTGAGTGAAGTAAGTCAGACAAAGGCAAATATTGTATGCTTTCTCATTTATATGTGGAAGCTAAAAAATGTGAACTCACGAAAACACAGTACAGATTGATGGTTGTCCAAGTTGAGCAAGTTTCAAGCTGCAGCTTTCTCCATCTATCCAGTCCTGTCTCTTTTCCATCTTTCAAATTTCCTGATTTACTTATGGGAATTTCTCACTTTCCCTCACTAACCATGAATTTTTCTTTTAAAAAGTACATGTATTCTTTTATTAAATCTAGAATGAGAAGGAAAATAAGCTGTCAGTAGGACATCCCCATGCACTCAGCTGACCACCTCCATCCAATTTCTAGAAACATTGCATGTGATTAAAATAGTGAATAAAGGTCAGCACCCATGGGTACCACCACTGAAAAGAACCAGGACCTGGTACATCTGTCCTCTGAAATGTGCTATAGGCACAGCATGCTGGCTTGCATTAGTAGAATTCTATCTGTTTTTATAAGCAGAGTCTGTCTTGACTGGATAGCATCTATAACATGCCAACTGTTACATATTTGGAATACCATCCCTGAGGTATACTAAATGTAAATCAAAAATCATTACTAAAATGTCTCCTCAATGAACTTCATGGATAGGAGGAATTTACTCTAGGTATTAAGTGCTACTAAGAAAAGAGGGAGAACCCAACTTCCTTATTTTCTAAGAGCATCTCCCAGTAATTGTAACATCTTACTCATCACCACATCCTCAATGCTTGCAATAGTTCCTAGCCTACAGTAGAAACTTGAAAAACACAATTGAATAAATATATATTGAGCCCTGGCCAGGTAGCTCAGTTGGTTAGAGCATCATTCCTATATGCCAAGGTTGTTGGTTTGATCTCCAGTCAGGGCACATACAAGAGGCAATCAATGAATGTATATATGAGTGGAACAACAAATCAATGTTTCTCTGTCTCTCTTTTTTTCTCCCCCTTTCTCTCTATCTAAAATCAATAAAATAAAAAAATAGAGAAAAATGAATAAAATAATATATATCTCTATTTCCTCACTTGTAAAATAAGTTAGATCAAACCCCTAGTCATTTTGAGATTGAAGATATTAATTCCACTTGAAAGCAAATAGAGTTTTCATTAAGTTATGATACCAGTAAATGTACCAAGCAAAATGAAAAGTCATAGTCTATTATCTCCAGATATCCTTTTAGGCTCCTCAATTATAATTATCTTCTTAAGCTACATCACCAATAATAAAGAAAACAACAGAAACTTATTTTAAATTATTTTATTTTTCAGAATTTTCTAACACATGGTGTTAGAAAAATGAATTTTGGTACCATGAATTAAAACTTCTTCTCAAGGTTAGCCTTTAAATTAAACACAGTAGCTACAATAAGGATATTTAAACCTCACTCAGAGAAATGGTGAAAATCAAGGCACAAATTCTTTTGTGGAGGGAAATTATTTCAAAGTGTGATTTTAAAAAGCTAATAAGAAGAGTAAGAAGGATAAAATAGAGACCATGCTGGGAAGACAAAAAAGTGAATAATTCTCCCTAAAAAGAGAATAAAGAGGGGGGCAAAAAGCAAAAGAAAGGCTCACTAACTTATTTTCCTGATATAAAATTCAAGTACTTAAAACTTTTTTAAAAATCATAAAATGCTGCTACTCATCTCAAAGAAAAAGTAATCTTCATTATTTTCTAGAATTAAAACACAACAACCTTTTTTACTTAAGGATAGTCAGTGATCTTAAGTCAATACTTAGAAATGGAAAGGTTTGCTTTTCTAAATCTAATATCTACATACTATAATCTACCTTGAAAAAAATCATCTGAAGGAACACAGGACTTTATTTCTAATACAAATGTAAAAAAAAAATATCTAACAATCTAAACAAAAGGGCTTTCAACTGGATATGGAACTTACTGTATTTTGCACTAAATTTCTTAAGGACAAAAATTGTGCAATACTGTTCTTTATATTCCATCAGGAAGTACTGTAAAACATACCTACACAGGTGATCAAAAAAGTACTTACACAATTGCACAAAAATTCAGTTAGAATTCCAGTTTTCCAACATTTAAAAAATTGCCAATTTTCACTTATATCCATCTTATCTACATGTTGATAAATAAAATTCTTCCCAGGTGTTGTTAAATAAGAAAATACTAGTCTCATTTGTCACTTGTGCATTTGTACCTGAATATTTTACCAACTGAAACACATATTCAGAAAAACTGTCATTGTTCTCAGAGACAATAAGGCAAAGAAATAAATATTTGCTTTTAATTTTTTTTCCTTTCTTTTCTTCTTCAATCTGTGTTTTAAGGCTCAGAGCAGACATTATGATATATCAATTTTTTTATAAGGTTTTCAAATGTTTGGCCCAAAGTGAAGTTGTTCTGTTGAAGTTACTTAAATATTCCTCTCATCTTCTCAAGTAACTTCAAACATGTTCATGCCAGTCATCCATTCCAAAAGGAGCAGTGATTCAAAGGAAAGTTAATAACTTAGGGATCTATAAAAGACACTGCAATGTATCTTGTTCCATTTTTAACAGGAAGCCCTTCATGCAGATGCGTGAGTCTCCCTGGGTGCATAAAACTCCAGCCTTTTCTCGGTGATTCAATAGAGCAATTGTATCGAAGAAATTTGCATCCACCTCCCTAAAAGAGATGAAACAAATAAATGTATCATCCTATTATGTTTAATATTTTATCACTAGAGGCCTGGTGCACAAAATTCATGTGGGGGGGTGGTGTCCCTCAGCCTGGCCTGTGCCCTCTCGCAATCCAGGATGCCTCATGCACCAGTGACCATACTTTTCATACAGGTGAAAGGCATCTTGCTGTTGTATAAGCTACATTTTTTTTTGCCCTGAGTATAAAAAGTAGTACATAACATGATCCTTCTGAGGCAGTAGTGCCATTTTCCCCATCTTATGGGTGGAAAAACTGAAGCAGAGACAAGTTAAGTAATTGGCTTTGTCACACAGTTATAAGTGTCAGAATCAGGGCTGACCACAAAATGTGCAAGCCAGAGTCCATGCATGTCATCGCTGCATCATCCTGTTTTTTTTCAGTGTTAAGAGTAGATTTGCCAGGTTTTAGTTTTTAAATCTAAGAGACTGTTTCCAATATATAGGATTGCATGTTTATCCCCATGTAGAATAAACAGGATGTGGACAGTTTGGAGGTTCTTCTGATGAATTAGGATTAAACAACCACAGATCTCTTTTTCAAATATTGCAGAAGCCACCTTCCTTGTTTAACTGTGTGTGGGATGTAGCCATTTATAAGCTATAACATAGTCACTCACAATCCGGGACCCCTTTGGGGATGTCCGACTGACGGTTTAGAGGTTAGAAAAAAACCTTGTGAGAGAAAAAAACAAAACAAAACAGAGGCCACTCCAGCGAGGTTGGGTTCTGAGGAGCTAGGGCTAACTTTCTTCATGAAGATTCACCAGGTCAGGGAAGAGGGGAGGAAGGAGAGAGACAGAGAGAGAGAGAGAGAGAGAGAGAGAGAGAGAGAGAGAGACTCCTCCCCAAAGACTCCAGACTCTTATTTTAAAGCACAAAACCTTGCTTCCCCACGTTTATCGCACATCTAAACACAAACCATCGTGTACTTCAAGCAACATGTATTAGGGAAAGCGAATATAGCTTTAAAGCAAAGGTTAGGGGTTTCAGAAGTAACTCCTCTATTCTCTTGGGCGGAAGCTCCTGGTGGGGGGGCTGCCTCTTTGCGAATCCACATTTATCTCTTGGCGCATGGGAGGTTAGGGAGCACAGCATTATCAGGGGGACTGCACACTTGATACTCACCCCATTTCATTTCCTCACCCTCCCAGGTAGCTCAATTCGACTGGGTGTGGGGAGAGATTGGGCGGCTCTCCGGGGGCGATTCTGCGGCTGCTGGGGGGCAAAGAAAAGCCTCCCCCAAAAAAGGTTTTTCAAAAGCCTTCAGGAAGCCACGACGGTTAAACAGCGCAACTGGGCTCAGTGAGAGCCAAACTGTCTTCCCACTTGCACCTGCATGTCTGTGCCTCCACGGGCAGTCCAGGGGCCCTCCCAGACCCTCGCTCCACCCTCCCACCTCCCTCACACACACTTTGGACTGGGTGCTGCTGCACTGGGGGCTGCTTATATGTACTCCTTTGACCTCTGCACTATCCCAAACTCCCGAACCCCAGGTCTCACTTCCGGGCTTCCGAAGCCCTCAAAGTCTCTCCCTCAATTCCAAGGCACTGCTCCCGGCCACCTCCCAGCTGCAGCCAACACTCAGACCTGGAGGCGAGTGGCCCTGCGGGCCCACCCTCCTTTTTCTCCTCCACTCACTACGCCCGGGTACTGGCACAGATCTGTGGGCCACGCAGTTTAGTGAACACATGCCCAATGTCAAGAATGGTGCCTTTGCTCGAAGGTAACCGGGGCAGTCTCCCTCTGGGAACTCAGTCCTGGGGTGCTGCCTTCCACCTCTAAATTCAGATCTCATGCAATTCGCACCAAAAAAACCCTGCTCTCCCGAGGAAGAGACCCACTGAAGAGACTCCTGAGGCAGTGTGGGGCACGCCTCCTCTGCACTTGTGCACAGAGTGAGTGTCATGTTTGCAAACAGTGAGCAAGCCTGCTGCGCTGCTCAAGGGGGAGACATGTGTAGCCACCAAAACAGTGGTTCCTATCTTTTCTCTTTTGTTTACAGAGAAAGAGATTCCAATACTATCCCTAACCCCCATGTAGCCATGCGCCCAAAACTCCTTCCTATGCCCCTTCTCCAGACACCGGCCCTCCAATGTCCTGGCTGCTTCTGCCCGCTCTGAGAGGGGCTGCACTATAAGTTCATATGTTTGACTAGTTAAGAAAAAAAACAGGCTGAAATTGGACTTACATGGAACCTGTCCATGGTAACCACTTGCTCTACAGGAGTGCCCATAGCACCCAAGTACTTGAGACCCTTGCAATCTGGGACTCCTCCGGGGATGTCTGACTGCAGGTTTAGGAGGACCCCAAACCAGGCCGGGTGCCGTGCAGCTCACGCTCATCCCAGCCGCTGTGCCTGCTGCCGCCACTTGGTAGTACTGCCCGAGTCAGGAGAGGCTCCCGCTGCTGCAGCTGTGCTCATCAGCCATGAGCCCAGCTTCTGGCTGAGCAGCACTCCCCCTGTGGGAGCACACTGACTACCAGGGGGCAGCTCCTGAGTTAAGCGTCTGTCCCCTGGTGGTCAGTGTGCATCATAGGGACTAGTCAACTGGTCATGCTGGTTGTTTCACTGTAACAGTCACTGGGCTTTTATATATATAGACTAGTATATATAGATTGGCAAAATTCAAATTATGCCATATAAGAAGAAAAGTAAAAAAAGGGGGAGGGGTTTAAGGCCTTTTTGTAATGACTGAGGAATGTAAAAAATAAAACCCATAATTACCTGAAAATCTTCTCCCACATTATTGAGTGCAATGTTGATGGTAAATGTAGAAGCATCATGATGAGGGCGAAGAGAACGCTGTCTGTCAGGGGAGTATTTTACCACAAAATTCAATAATGCAAATCCCTAAAAAGGCAAAGTAAATGAATGGATTTGCTTAGCAATAAAAACATAAAATAGCATATGTGTGTAAAAACTGGTAAGAGGTAGGCAGGAGGAATGGGAGAATAACTACCTTTGTATAATAGCCTGCAAAGACCTTCAGTGTAACTGGTGCAATAAACTCCCGGATAAAATGAAGCCAAACATTCTCCAGATCAATTTGCTTCATGTGGATATCATCAGTTGGGACATTTTCATAACCACCAGATATACGGCTATCCTAAAAACAAATTAATGACATCATAAAGTGTGGTCCACAGCAATCCACATTTATACTATCTTGAAATTTTTTCAATCCCAAGATCATTATAAATAAAGAAATTAACAGTTTAATTATGTCATAGCATCTGCTTTAACTGCAAGACTATAAAAAAAACTTAGGTAAAATGGCTTTGCAAATATATCCATGAAGCAAAACATTACAGAGTTCAGTAGACTCCTTTCCTACTTATTTAATGTGTTAACCCAAAAATAAAAAGACCAAAGTAAGAGGTAACAAGTGTTTATTTGAGATTCAAAAGAATAGTTATTTAGAAAGCACCTATTCAGACAGAAACAAAAGCAGTGGGTATTTATGAGAAAGGGAAGGAGAACAATTACATCAATAGAAGGAAGCATTTCTATAGGTGCAAATAAGCTAGCACAGTGATGCTAATGCTAAACAATGTTTTTAATTTCGGTCCAGGTAGTCATGGCATCTTCTTTCTTGTAATCTTTGCACACAGTGGTTTGGGATACAATGCTGCTCTTGGGTCTAGGTTATTTTGCCCTTTTAACATTCCAAAGATTTGAGGAAGAAGATATGCAAGATTCTGAGATGGCAGCTTCAACTCCATTTTAAAGTGGCTCCATTTAGATTATTTTTACAAATGTGTATTTAAGAGCTGACTATAAAGTAAATAAAATTAATTTCCAAAGCCCTTCCAAGCCTCCTAAAGAATGAGTTTTATACAGTGACCCTTCAGGCAGTCTTAGCTGCTTGATGGACATAAATTTGTTGGATTACCTACCATAGAAACAAGCTTTCCCTGCTTCGTTTTCTTACTTCTACTTTGTGGCACCCAGTCTTTCTATGACAGGTTTTCATTATCCTGCCTGCAACTTGCTGACTTCAAGTTCTTCATCATTCTTTGAACTTCTGTATCCCTGATCAGCTAACTGATGTAATTTAACAGAGGCGGTAATATTCAAGAGTATTCCACTTAAATTTCTTGGTATTGGGAATGAGCTGGCATGCGAGGACTCTCAGAGGAAAAGAAATACATTGAACCACTGACAGTGAGACTTCCTGCCAAGTCCTTGACACTGAATGTAAATAAAAAACTGACTTACACTGAAGGCATTTAGATTCCTTCTTAAATTTTATACAAAAAAAGCTTTGATAATCAACCAGATAAACTTAGTCTTAGTATTTTTCACTATAGCTCACTGTAAAAATGCAGAGAATAAAAAGTGGCCTCAAGAGCAACATCACACAGTAAAGATATACATTACCTCACCATCTCCAGCCTGGGACATGATCCTTAGGGACTAGCCAGTGTAATTGAGAAACTGAGGCCCAGAGAGATCAAATGTTAAACACTCATTAGGTAATGGCAGAATTAGACTTAAACACAGCTCTCCTGACAGCCTTGGCTAAACTACTATTCAGGTCTATTCAGAGATGTACAACAAAAAGGACAAATCCACCCTAAATTCTCTAAATATCTACCCTTCCCCCAACCCCACATACACATTTCAGTTTTCTGTGTGAAATTACAACTTACGTGATGTTTCCCTCCAGACCACTGGCCATAATGCTCCATTTCTTCCACCAACTCATCACAGGCTTTTTCAGAAAATATGGGAAACCAAAAGACATCTGGACAAGGCTATGACATTGAGAGCACGCTTTATTTTTCTTTCTCATAAAGCATGGCATCACCATTAAGAGAATAACATTCTGTGTCTTTTTAAAAATATATTTTATTGATTTTTTACAGAGAGGAAGGGAGAGGGATAGAGAGTTGGAAACATCGATCAGCTGCCTCCTGCACACTCCCTACTGGGGATGTGCCCGCAACCAAGGTACATGCCCTTGACTGGAATCGAACCTGGGACCCTTGAGTCCGCAGGCTGATGCTCTATCCACTGAGCCAAACTGGTTAGGGTACATTCTGTGTCTTTTAACTAATAACTAGCATTTTAAAACTAATAGGGCAGAATATTCAATATTTTCTCACTTAGATGTCCTTTTTAGGAGGTCTGTCCCACATTATTGACATTACTATTATAAACAATACTAGTTTTGGGGATTTTTAACACTTAGGAGACTTTTTTTTTTTTTTACATTTTAACATCAGTAAAATAAAATGTGTCTTAAAGTCAAAGCCAAGCAGCCACTGTGATGTAGTTTTAATGCCCCGGCGCTTGGTAAAACATTCATCCTGCCGTCACCTGTGTGAGTACATATGCACGTCTGTGTGTCCTTTGTATACATGTATTTAGTTGATGTTGCATTTGCTGAACTGAGTTGCCCTTTAAAATGTCTTTTAAAATGATTTATGCTATAATTTGTGACAGAAATGAAAAGTTACTGTGTATACAGTGCACTAGAACATATAACATATATTCCTTAATAATTAATTGTAAAATAACTCTTTCAATATGTATAAAATAAAAACATTCTAAATGACCAGAAAACATTGTGTCATAGTTTAATTGGCAGTATTTTATTTTTCTTTCTCATAGTATACAAAATAAAGAGATAACTCAGAATCAAAGATTTCTTATATTCTCTAAAATAAGGTATTAGCAATAGTTTGGAATACTACTAATCTAAAACAGAGCTCATTTTGTAAAAGACATCTCTAAGAGATTCTTGGAGCCTAATTTCTTTCAAAGGTAAACTTTCATGAAAGATATGTCAATGGCTCCTTATTTTTTGTGGTTTGGGAAAGCTACAACATTAACTTATGGACACACACAACAGTGTGGTGATTCCAGGGGGTGGGGTGTGAGGTGGGGGGGGTGGAGGTGGAAGAGGGTATAGGGGGGATAAGTGGTGATAGGGAAAAAATGAAATAAAGAAAAAAATGAAACAAAAAGAAAGCTATGACATTGAGAGCACGCTTCACAAAAATACATGATCTTAAAATTTTTGTTCAGCTACACATTCTACAGTTTTATAACTATATGATCCTTAAGGCTATAAAATTGGGAATTAAGCCATATGAATTTTACCTAAAGAGTAATTACTGCACTTTCAAAACATCCCCCACTAAAGCAGTATTGTAGTAATAATATGCCCTTCTGGAAAATATAGCAAAAAGTTCTACATATCATAATAATTATTAATACAAACCTGTTCAACTATATTTTCAGTGAAAATCTTTGAATAATCATGGTTTATATACTTTTCCTTCCAGTCCTACAAAAAAAATCAATTGCACAGATTAAAGCAAATACCTTTACAAATACTTGAATAAACAATATAAAGTATATCCATTTTAGAAATTACTCAACTTATAAATGACTTGTTTTAGACCACCGAAACCACAGTTTATGTTTTTCAATATTTGCCTGATTCTATGTATGATCATATATATTTCTATGAAATGAAAAATTTTGGTTTATGAAGTTTTATATCTCAGAATTTAAAAATGTGAAAAATATTACAGTGATTAGATTTGTATACTACATCCTATGCATCTACACAGGGTAGATAAATATGTGTTTAAAGGTGAACAATAGAAAATCCTATCAACAAATATTAGTAAATATTACCACATTAGTCAATTTGAGTATTATTACATAGTGAATTACTTTAAAATAATTTCAATTTTAAAAATGTATTCAAAATTTCTTCCTTCACTGCAGTTTTTAATATCTGTCAAAGAATGATCATAGGGTTCATAACACATTCACTTCCTTAAGTTACTAAATTTAAGATATAGTAAAAATAGATTTTCTTGATGTTAATTCATGAACCAATTCTCCTCTTTGACCAATCTCTGACACATAAAGCACACACTGAAATACCTCAATTTTTGTCAATATCAGCTAGGAAATCCTTTCCCTGGGTCAAGTGTTTCATTTAAAACCCCAATTATTTAGAGAGTATATATTAAAATATGGAGTGAGTTATTATTTAAAAAGATCTCTTCTTAAATGTATTTAGGCAGTCTAACAAAATTCTTAAGTTTCTCTTTATAAAGTACAAATATAGGAAAGTGACAGGAAAGAACTGAGGTACAGACATAAAATAATTCAAATCAAAACATGTTCCAAAAATATTTGTCTGAAATATACTTTTTGAGGCCAGATTTCAAAGGATTCAGATAATTTATGTACATTCTTAGTTTAACATATCTCTGCTTATATGTAGCTAAGATATTTCTGATATAGAGAACCAAAACTATCTTTAAATTCTTTAATAAATTTCATTTACAGTATATAAGGATCAAGTTACTATATTATCTCATTACTCCCTCTAACAATTATTAGTTTTTGGATTTCAAAATATGGGGAAAAATTAGAAGTAAATAATCATTCATAACATTTCAGAATCCTTCTGTATTCTTTCCTATGTATCATTACTGAAATTAAAGAAAAAAGCCCCTAAAACTTTACATTAATTTTTTATTTAGACCACCTTTCAAATATCATTGAACAAACTGTGAACTTACTAATTTCTTATAAGTTCTGATAATGGGAAAATCATTAAATATGTTGCTATGCATATCCCCTACAAGGTATATCTATATGGTGAATTTCCAAAGAAAACAACAAAGTAAAGCCATAGAAAGAAAAGCTATTCCAACTCACTGGTGATATCATTGCATAGTCTCCAAAGATTTGAATTTTTACACAAACATCTACATTTCAGTACATAATTTGGAATATTTTTTCAGGAAGCTAACATTACCTAAGAAATCAAATAATACTCTTTTTCAAAATAACAAGAAATTTAGCACTAAAGTAAAATATGTAATTCCACCCTCACCATTAAAAAAGCTTCTTCTTAAGTCCATGAAAATGTGCAGCTAAATGGACTGGAGGTGCTTTCCTTTATTTATCTACTAGAGGCCCGGTGCATGGATTCGTGCACCAGTGGGGTTCCTCTGCCTGGCCTGCACCCTCTCGCAATCTGGGACCCCTCGGGGGATGTCGGACTGCCGGTTTAGGCCTGATCCCCATAGGCAGGTGGCCTTCAGGTATCAGGCTGAAATTGGCAGTCCAACTCTGCCTGCTGCTCCTGCTCATCCTGACCCTGCTGTGCCTGCTGCAGGCTCATGCCCAGTCAATCCCGATCAGGAGAGGCTCGCACTGCTGCCAAAGCGGCGCTCGCCAGCCGTGAGCCCTGCTTTTGGTGCCAGTCGGTCAGCTGAGCGGCGCTCCCACTGTGGGAGCACATTAACCACCAGGGGGGAAGCTCCTGCATTGAGCGTCTGCCCCCTGGTGGTCAGTGCATGTCATAGTGACCGGTCGACTGGTCATTTGGTCACTTAGGCTTTTATAGATATAGATTTATGTTTTATTAATCCTCACCTGAGGATATTTTTTCCATTGATTTTTAGAGAAAGTGGAAGGGAAGGAGGAGGGAAGGAGAGAGAGAGAGAGAGAGAGAGAGAGAGAGAGAGAGAGAGAAGAGATAGAGAACATAGATGTGAGAGAGACATCAATTGGTGAAAATACTTTTAAAGATATTTATTTTTTATTCAACAGAGTATTCAGAGACCATTAAATTTCCTATTCCTGGTTGTCAATTACTCCTACAAAATAAAACAGAATTCTGATCAGGTGGATTAAGAGTTTGTGATTTAGGACTTTTACTATTGGCAAGGGAAACCCTAATAGTAGTATACAAAGATGATCCTTTAAGGAGAGGTATTTTCCTTGAATAAATGTGGCTGACTCACTACAGAGGAACAGACCAAGAAAAAAGAAAAAAAAGGTTAATTCCTGTAGATTCAAATCTTTCAGGAAAGAAATAATTTTAGAATTTAAAAGGAAATTGTTTCCCAACTTAAGACTTTCGATATATGTTAAATCCAGTTACTCTGCAATTTTCTCTGGCTATCTTTGGTATATATTCACAAATTGTTTTAAAAAATAAACAAGGAGAGATAGAAAATGGTGGCCCAATAGGCAGATGTGCCATGCACCTCATCCTGGGGCCAGACTGGAAAAGCAACTAAGTCAGAGAACATCAACCTAGAATTCACAAGTTAGACACAGCTGAGGAGACAATTTACAACAAGAAAGGGCAGAGAACACCTGGAGAACAGTAGGAACTGGGATCTGGACTGAAGAGGGCCAGCTGGCCAGTGGGCCAACAATGTGAGGAGGAAGCTGAGGTGCATCAAAGCCACTTGGCAACAGGCATAACATCCAACTGTGAAAAAGAAAAGCCACAGATTTGCTGCTGGCATGCAAATCTGGACATAAGACCACAGCCTCAAAAGGCTGAGGCAGCCTGAGCAGCTCAGTGCTGGGGGAAGAGAAACATGCAGTTTAGTGGTTGTTTTGGTTTGGTTTTGTCTTTGCTATTATGCACTAAACCCAGAACATAGGACTTTTCAATTGCAAACACTCACCTGAGGCTTCTGCGCAGAGAGAGAGGCACAGACTTGAGGAGTCTGAGGAGAGGCTGAGGAGGGAAGTAGGGCAGAGAGACATGGCCAGGACTCCTGCATTGGGACATTCTTAAAGCTTCCAAACCAAAGTGGCCATTTCTTCTCTGAAGAGCTAGCCCCTCCCAGTAGCCACAAGACAGGTAATATAGCCTGCCACACCCTGCCTGCATTTTGAGTTATACGAAGGAAAGAAGGCAGAGGCCAAATTTACATGTTTTAATAGGCCCAAAGAACCCTCAGTGACTGGATAGGAAGATGTGCCGGTCCACCCCGCTATTCTGGGAACCAGACTGATAAAAACTCCAGATTGCTAGCCAACCCCACTGGCCTCCATACAAGGATCTCTGAATAACCAAGGCCAGAGTAATATTTTGGGCCACTCATGGAGGAGTACATCTGGGTCAGGGAAAAAACATCCATCTGATTCCCAGAAAGCCAAACAGCACCACTCACTCCTAAAGCCCTATCAGTGATTAAGATTGACAGTTGGCAGACAGGCAAAACAGACAGATTGGTCCCACCTGCTTGTAGCCAAGGCCTGTGGAGACAGACACAAGCAGAGTAGTGGTGGATTGCTTGGAGCTTCAACAGGGTACAAAAAGCCAAAAGAGCCCTAACTGGTTTGGCTCAGTGGATAGAGTGTCAGCCTGTGGACTGAAGGGTCCCAGGTTTGATTCTGGTCAAGGATATGTACCTTGGTTGCAGGCACATCCCCAGTAGACAGTGTGTGGGAGGCAGCTGATCAATGTTTCTCTTTCATCGATGTTTCTAACTCTCTATCCCTCTCCCTTCCTGTAAAGAATCAATAATAATAATTTTAAAAAGCCAAAAGTTAGTGTCTGACAGTGGTCAGCACCTAACTACTTAAAAGGAAGCCCAGAATTGGCACACAGAAGAGTGGGATTCTAAACAAGCTGCCACACAGGGCATTAAAATTCGGCTGAAGTGAATGACACTTCACTTTTTAATTAATTAATTTTATTATTATTATTTTTTCACCTTTTTCTTCCTTGCTTCTCCTTTTTCATCTTGTTTTTCTTCTACTTTCCCCATTTTAGTTTTTCTCTTTCCTTTCTTTTTACCCCCTTTTAAAAATTGATCTTCTTTATCTGTTTTATTGATGTGTTATTATTACAGTTGTCTCTGTTGGCTTAGTCATATAGCTAACTTCATCTTCCCTGCTGTCCTACTTCATTTCCCCTTCTTTTTTATTTCTCTGAACTACTCAATTCTTTTTTCTTCTTCTCTCTGGCTCTTTTCTTCTCCTAATTTTTAATTGGTTTCAATTCAGGCCATATGCGCTCTCCTCTATTCTCCTTTTCAAATAAATAAAAATTTAAAAACTTTTTTTTTCTTCTTGTTCATTCATTCCTCCTCTATAATAAACTATGGTCCTTCCCCTATTCATCCAATTCCTTAACCTTTTTGTACTTAAGCTGTGCCTCTACAGATTCTGTCCCTACCCCACTTTCCAGATTTTCTGTTTGAGCTTTTGGGTTTATTTTTATTTATTTTTTCTTTTCTCGATATCCTTTTTGTTTTCTTTTCTCTTTCCTAATTCTCTTTTTTCTGGTGGTCACTTTTTTGGGGGTTATAATTGCCTTGTGTACCTTCGTGTTCTGTTCCTTTTGTGTCGTGTCGTATTGTATTTTGTGCTGTTCGGTCAGCACTTTCACAATGGCTGACATGATGTGGTAGAGAGTGAACAGCATAATCAGACACCCTGAAAGGAAACTCCACCCAAAAAATGGGACAATAACATTCAAGACCCAACTACATCAGGAGAACCCAA